TGGCCCGCAAGTGTCCTGGTAGGCTTGTAGACGTTGTGCTAAGTTGGCATGGAGAACTGCTCCAAGAAGGCCGGCATCAAATGACGAAAAAGAAAACCCATGGTAAAGCAGATCCCAGTCAACATCCGGCGCATTAAAGTTACCAACAATTAGGCAGTTCCTGCCACTCTCACAGTTTCTGAGTGTCCCTTTAACGCAGTTACCGTTACCGGATGGTACTCCGCACACCATACCGACTTTAAGGGGTTTGCGTCTGTTGTGAATTCGATACCATAGCATTTCTGTACCTCTGTCGCTGATTTCCTCGACAATGTGCACCATAAGTTTGTTCTTCAGTATAGAATAAGGCCACACCAGGCATCGTTCCATGGTGATCAACTCGCGAAAGTTGGTATTCCAGGGTGTGAACCTCGCCATCGGGAGTATCTGGAAATACATAGGTCTCAGTGAAAGCTATCAAATCTGGATGTAGCTCCGAGAAGAGAGAGAGAGAAAACGGATCTCATCTCGTTTGTTTCTCATGCTGCGCACGTTGGCAGCCATAACGCGCAGTCCAAGTAGTAGCTTTGATCCTACCATCCGGGCAGGACTAAGATTGGTCTCCAACAAACTCTCGGGATTCTCTGCATAGCACGAAAATCCACAATATAAAGATTGCTTTCACCGGCTGATCTTCGAGTTCGCAGTCAGTCCATCACCTGCCATCCCCATTTTAACCCGGTCTTCAGGGCAAAAACCTCTCGGAACGTAAAATGTTTCTCTTTTAAGACGTAAGGTTCGCCTTAGGATACGATAACATTCAGTCTCCCCTTGGCAGACTATTTTAAGAGACGAACATTGGAAGAGTCCTCCTGCTTTCTCCCGAGACGAAAGGTGGAAATGATATTGATTCCCGGTTCCCATCATCGAACAATAAGGTGACCATGTGTTGTAGGGATATTTGGTCTTCCAGTATTCTCTCTGCTAGCGTTTGCTTATCTGATTCTGGAGTATTGACGATGATCAAGCAGCGTTCGTAGGGATGGGACCCAAATCCTGGCTTTGTGGGGTTTGGGTGTGTCTCAATCATGTTTTCCAACTGATTCATCTTGTCCAAAACCAGTTCAAACTGCGGCCGTAAGAAGATGGCTTTCTTTGCTTTATCCCTGCAACCATCTGTGTCTAAGGGAGCTGTCGCTGTTTTTGCTCTCTGACACACGACGGATACATACACTTTTTTCATTGGTTGGATACTGTGTTCCCCATATAGCAGACACTTCGGGGAAGAGGCGGAAGGATTTCGACTACGACGTACATTCGGGGTCGTTGAGCCAGACGGGATAACTGGTGGAAGGAGAGCGGGTATTGTTTTACTTGCTTGAATCTTTAGTATGAGCCTTGAGCTCTTCTTCATTGTGGCCTAGTTTGCGGCTGGGGTTATTCTAGCCGTTGTAGTGTTGGTGCTCGCTACTGTGATATAGGTTTTGGGCTTATCATTCAGCCCATTCTTGTTCTCACTAGACAGTAGTGTTTCTGCCAACGTGGAGGAGGTACGGCTTCCTTTTTCTCTGGATGTAGAATACCCAGACATAGACAGGTACACTAATGAAACAAGTGAATCGTCTTCAAAGTTGGGCACGGCCTGAGCGGGGTCAGTATGTATACTGAAAGGGATACAAGTTTATCAGGAGACGTTTGACGCCACTCACTGCTCGACACGGGTCACAGTGAGCGATGAGGACTTGGGGGTGGTCCTCATTGGACATTGGTAAGGATCGTAGTCAATGTTGCAGCAGGCCAAGTGCCTTCATTGGTCTATGAATGTAACTGACGAATGTCCATCAAAGTCGTCGAAAACAAGTTTGAAAACGACGTAGACTAACAGTGCGACCCTTTTAATAAACCATTTGTATGCAGAGCGACCGGCATAGCATGAGTGACCGAAAAATATCCGCTGAACTGAAAGCTGGAGCGCCCTGAGTGAGACACGTTTGATACCAATTTCAGTCACTTAGAAAATTTTTCGTGCACAACTTTAACATATGCCTTGAATACATTTTTACTGGCTGCAAATCCCATTTACACTCAGCGAAAACCATTACCAAATAATAGTAAAACGGGGCTGATGCCTCAAGACTACTCGGAAGTTTTCGGGTGACCGACATTAGTCTCAAATATGTCACACTGGAACGGTCACTCGGCGGTTCGATTTCAAGTGGGACTAAAACGACGAAAAAATCCCGTAAGTGTCCCTTCAAGTTCACGTTCAAGTTGGACGAGAAAATCCCGCGCCTGTTCTATTTTAAGGTCATCGCTGATCCAGGATAAATTTGTGTCGATAGATTTGTCATTTGAGAGTGCCAACTCGGCACACGCGAATCGCACCACGGTCAATCGATTAATGCCCACTTGACCTGTACTAATTGTCCTTGCTGTGCTGGTCACGTGAAGTGGCAACAAAACATATTCATCACCACCAACACATGTTAGCTGCGTGTGGGAGGCGCGCCTCAGCTAATGTGCCACAATACGAAAAAAAGATTAAGCCTGAAGACTAAAACGTTAAACAACTAATACACTGTTAAATATCACATTTGTGATTGTTCTTGGTGGGGGAAGCTAAAGGGGAGGGGAAGGACAAGTAGACTAACAACACAAACGCCATTGAGCTTAACTCATCGCCATGTCAACTAGTGTATCCAACCACATGTGTTCACCGTCCTTCGGCCCCCAGCCCGGCAGTCGGGTAACAACAACTGACCCCAAGTTCGAAGTAATGGACTTCATCCTTCTTGACCAAGTCATCACTTGGCCTCCCCTCCTCTTCTTTCACCCACACCCCCGGAAACAACGTACGATGCGGGAATCGGTATGCTGGCATACGCAACATGTGACCCAGCCATCGGAGCCTGGTGCATGATAGAACGGTGCTAAGCGGTTCACTTGCTCTTCCTGTATCAACTACGCGATGTCGAACACGCTCATTGCTCACGCGGCGTTCCCACTAGACATGACCTAAGCCGCGAAAACAGCGATGGTCGAACGTAACTAGCCTCTTTATGTCGGCTGATTTAATAAGCCAAGTTTCTCAACCCTACAGTAAACTTGAACGGACGGCTGCATTGTAAACCCTGACCTTCAGTAACAACAAACAACAACAACAGTACATCAACCATTTGAACTGATGCTTCGTTGCCATACAACCATGATGACCTAGGGAATAAAGACTAATAAGAGGAAGAGCATGGGGACTTACCTGTAAACCTTAATGTCCTAAGCAAACATTCAGAGCCAAGACATCTACACCTTGTGTAGACAACATACCGTCACAAACAGCTGCCTATTGTGCAAAGGTAAGGCGGCATCGGTGAGACAGCTTTTTGCACCTTTCACTGCCCCGCGCCATAATCATGATGTCACGCCTGCTCCACAGGTGGCGGAGATTAGCAAAAGCAACCCGAGCTATACGGTACGTGATCTCGTCTCCGACCCCATGGGCTCTGATATAGCTGCCCTTGCGGCACAGTAGCTGAGGTGTTTCCCACCTCTAGCTAACGTGTATGATGCTGCTGCTGCTGATGATGATGGCGATGATGATATAGCTGTCCAGATACTTAAATTTCTGGACGACCTCTAGCTGATCACCACCAAGGGTCAGTGCAGAAGTGGGTTTTTTCCAATCTTGGAGAAGTACTTTGCATTTTGTGGGTGCAAAGCGTAGCCCAAAACTATTGACAGAACTAACTTATCCTGTGTAGCTTGACATGTTTGTGAGCTGTCACAGATGAGCGAAAAGTCGTCGGCCTACTCCAAGTCAAAAAGTCGGTCTGGGAGCAGCTCCACACCTAAGTGGTGCCTGGCGAACTCCATTTCTACGACTTCGTCAATGACGAAGTTAAAGAATAAAGGTGACAGCGGGCAAAGCTTGTTTCACACCGCTGGATATATTCAAGTGCGGCGTAAGTTTGCCGTAAACCCTCACTCTGCGCGTCCAGCGCTCTTATGACATATACGTATTTCTCGGGTACACCTTTCCTCAGTAGACAGCCCCAACGAGCACATCGATCAACTTAATCAAAAGTCCCTTTATGTCTAGGAACATGATTACGGTGGGTCGTCATTAAACGTGGCGGTGTTACAACAACGGACATGTGACGATGTGATCAATGCAGCCTCGATTTCGACGAAACCCGGCCTGTTCCTCACGCATCTGACTTTCACGGGTGCCAGTTAATCTATGGAGGACAACAGGAGCAACTAACAGGCACGAGATCAGACTGATTCCTCTATGACTGCCGCATTCGGGACAGGAGCCGCCTTTGCAAATTGGGACTATAACAAAGCGGCTCCAGTCTTTTGGGACGGCCTCCTACTCCCATAGCTTCATCATTAAGTTATGTACATCGTCCAGCAGAGCAAGTCCCTCGAATGTAAAGTGGACTGGATGAAGTCCATCTATTTTGGCAGCCTTGTTCAATTTCAGGCGTCTGGTCTCACGTTCGACTTCTGCGCGTGAGGGCGGATCCAGGGTGACGGCTCAGCAAGTAGGGCGTTCATTGGTCGACAGAGAAGCTGGAAACTCTGACTGACTTAACTGCTTCTCAAAGTGTTCGGCGTAACGCTCCAAGCGTTCCCACAAGCTGTCTACTCTCCTCGCCTATGATCTCACTAACACCATGTATGCTGCCGCCCGTTTCTCGTATCAGACGGGATAACTTCCGCTGGTTACCAAGAGCAACGGCTGTCTCTATCTCCGAGACACGATGGGATCACTACGCTTCGCGGTCTCTCTTCAGGCTAGCATAGTTTCGCTCTGAGATCTCTGCAAGTATCATTGTATTCGCTTCCAGCCGGAACACGTCGACCTGCATCCATAAGTTCCAGGGACTGCGTAGGGACTCATTGTTCAGGTTTGCGATTTGATTCACTACAGCAAATAACTCTTCATGCGCTGCTCTTATCAGTGCCCTATAGGTATCGAACTTCATTTTTGTCACTGTTGCTAACGCTCTTTATTGCAGATGTCGATATGGACTTCTCTATGACGACTAATGAACTTCCACGCGCCACCTCTACTGTTTCCGATCGTTTCAAACCTATACATCTTGAAAGTAAGACAAGCTCACAAATTACTTCGCTGCTGAACCCGGCAATCAGTAACGAGGCACACGATCTAGGCGCCTCATCTGTCAATCCTTCTGGAAGTCGGTCAACATTTGGCGAGTCGCATCCAGTTACGGAGAAAGACACCGGCTCCGTTCTGGATTCTGGTACTGTGCGAATCCTGCACTTCGATATCGAACTTGAGTTACCTACGGACGATGGCTGCCACGGATCCGGAGTATGCAGTGAGCGCTTTACTTTCCCTGACACAGAGACAGTCGGGTCTTTGAAGCAGCATTTTATCGACCTCAAATCCGCAGAACTCATACTTTTGGCCACTTCACCCGCCTGGATTTCGGTGATCCCCGAGATTACGCCCTCTCATTTACTTTCCCATCTCAGTTTGCAAGGACCAGACAACTATAATTTCAACGATAATTCGGTAAGACCATTTTTACTGAACGATTTTGCTCTTCTTATCGGCCTATATTTACGTGAGTAGACTTCCCGTATTCGACTTCAATCTTTACCTCGTTTTTCCTCGCCAAATTCATCTAAATCAAGCATTTTGTTGTACTCCACCAGTAACTGATCGAGTGCATCAGTTTTGTTCTTAGCAAAAGTTACACCCGCATCCACTGTCCTGGTCTACTTGCATGTCACACGAGATGGTGTAGCATGCGTGCGTCATTCTCTATATTTTATATGCTGACTTCGTTCACTCCGCTATTTGATCGTTCTGGAGTATCAGGGTAAGACAAGCGTAGTCCACTTCCTTATGAACACGATCTTCAATTTAGTGACATCATGTATATATCTCGTAGCGTGATCTGTGTGCCTTTACCGTCCTAACCGATGATGATTGGGGACGATCACAACACTAGTGCATTTCACTGGTGTTCGCTCTCTGGAGTGAAGGGAACCCGGTTGCCTCGACTCGCGTCTTCATTGTCACAACAATTGGGAATGACGGTTGAAATAGGCTGAATAAACAAATGATCAAGTGGGGGTGTATAGCGCTAGCGTAACCGCAGTTTGATGCGTCGTTGACCATTATTTCATGAAAAGTCAAATTACTCCGCATAGCCCCTTTGGATGCTAACAGTAGGATCGGCTGCACACTCACTTTAGGCACCTCTGATGGCTCGGATGGTGGGTCCTTGTTATTTTTACACTCGTTACCCTCTCTCCACTTGTTCCGCCTGAGTCCTCAGGGGGTTAACTGATGGCTCGATAGAAGCCTATGAAGCAGCCGACAAACAAGACGTATTTAAAATAGTGCTACGCTGGTGAATTTCTCAATAATAAATTGGGTGACTCTCCCCTCTACCATCTTCCCACTCTTTGTTATTGCCCGTTTGTTCCACGGGTTAATTTTGTTATGGTTAGACCAGTTCTAACCAATCCAACCACAACGACCATCGATCAACCGCTATCGATCACTGTATTGAACCCTCCGTCATGGCCAGAGTAGCGTTCGCATTTGGCATCATGGGCTGACGCAGTACGGTTGTCCGATTTCTGGCCTGTAGCCCAACTTGGTCAAATACATGGATTCTGGAAATGTGCCCGTTCTTTTAACACCGGGTTGCAACACATTTTATCCTCTTAACTTTTCCGGCGAACTTGTGATCGTTAAATTGTTTGTGTTTTTTGGTCGCTTGTTAATTTACATTTTATCATCTTAGTACAGCGAGTCATCGCACCTAGATTTACCGCTTTTCAGTGTCCTAATCTCTTTCACCCTCTTTCGAATGGTTTACTTGTTTCTTATCTTGCTAGTTGTCCGTCGTTTATTCATGTGACACAAACCAAGACAACTGTCCAAACATTTATGACCATCGCGACGAGACTGGACCTTAATGTAGTGCGATGGTTTGCATATAACCGCAATTCATGGAACTACGCTGGGTGGCACTTTATGCGCCTTCAAAATCAGACAGATTATGAGTCAGTCGAAATCAACCTCGACATCTTTGGGAGTTGAGAAGAGGTCGATACTTCTCTTCCTTTGAAACATAATAATGGGAGGCAACAGCTGACGTTTTATGAGCTCACATCTCGATTGGTGTAGCCGGTCGAATGACACATGTGAATTGTTTTAAACCTATAAAAACTGCAAGCACAACCCAATAGGTTTTTACAATCCTACTCCTGTCTTGTCGTCCCGACTTTTGAGTCATAGGCTAGAGGTACTGTACTTCGAACGAAACCTCTTGAAATGGGCATCCGTTTAGTATCGTCTGCACCTCGACTCCGTCGCCGATACTCTTTATTCTTCCCGTTTTTCTCACCTTAGGACTCTCCCCTATCATTTGAACAAGCGACTGCCACTGACCTCGCAATTGCTACCGCGAATACATCTAGATCATCTTTCAAATCAAAGGTATAATTTCACCTTGGTTCGTTCGGCGTCCGTGCTCACGACCAGATCGGCCAATAATTTGCACGAGACTCTCACTCTTTACTTTCTTGGAATTGGTGTGAGATGTGTCTCCCAAACACGCATACAAAATAGTAACTTCGTGACGAATCTTCAGACCAAACAATGGGTCTTCCACTCCCTTGTTCATGATCTACAGGCAACTGCACTCCCCTTGTCTCCCTCGTAACGACACTGGACCTTAAATTGGCGCGACGGTTTGCGTACCACTGACTCATTGAGTTATAATGTATGGTGTCTCCGGCCCCGTGAGAGCTACTTCTACCAGGGCGGTCAGTGGTTAGAGGTCAGACGAATTCAGTCTCCTGACCCTCCACATTGGAGGTTTGAAATGAAACAGCGTCCATTTGTGTAAAACTAAATCATTGTCACCCCCGCTGCTTTGCGGATAGGCTTTTAAGCTAAGGGCTTTGGTTGAGGAACCTAATCGTCCTCCTGCCTAGATTTGTGCGCCCTGGAGGTATCTAAGCCCGCATACAACCATAACAATTTCCTCAACATTCAACTACATCCTGCATCGGTCGTTGCGCAGACTATCAAGGATCGCCTTATCTGCTGTATACAGCAGGGTGGATAAGCGAAAACATAGTACTGCTTGTGTCTCCTTTATTTCTTTCCCACCTGTTTCTTTTACTCCCCTCCCAACCCCAATTGTTAACCTACTTTCAATAGTTCCCAGTTTTATTGACAACAGCCGTAATGCAACTTGTGTAGAACGATCTGCAGCTACCTTCCCGCATCACCCACCGGATGCCTATCAGAAACAGTCCCTTATTAGGCCAAGCTGTCCGGTTTCCCTGGCGGCGTTCAACGTTCGCACTGTAGCAACTAGGTCAACAGGCTGCACTCGCACGCACGTTGGACACACTGGGTATCGACTTGGGTTGCGTATCCGAAACTAGGACCATTCACCATAATGGAGTTGTTGAATTAACTGCGCTCGGCGTGTTCTTTCGATATTGCTTGCACACATTCAGAGACGCTGACTCGGTAGCCACTAATCAGTCAGGAGTGGGCATTGCTCTTTACTTCAAGATTGAGTCATTGTTGCTTTGCTTGGATTCTGCTGAACAGCCGTTTGTTTCCAGTTCTTTAGATGACATCGACCAGGGTTGTTTCACGAAGTAGTACTAGACGCTGTTAGCTTGTGTTTTCCACTTCTAACTACACCGACTGCAGTTCGTGTGCTGCCAAGGACACATTCTACCATGAATTGAATACGCGACTACACATTGCTACCAGTTCAGTTGCCGTAGTTCTTGCAGGGGATATGAATACACAAGTAGGTCGCCTAGGTTTTTCACAATCAGCTAGATGGTAACTATGAGCTAAACTCCGAACGGACTGACAACGGCGAGCGTCTGCTGCAACTGTGTGCGGAGCACCAGCTGTTTTTTAGTAGCACGGCTTTTAGACACAGTGGGCGCCGAAGTGTCACTTGGCGTTCTTCTTTAGTTGGTCATCGATGGACCCAACTAGATCACATTGCCATAACTTACAGGTGGCGTGGTTCCATCCTGGATTGCCGCTCGTATTGGAGTACCTGCGTCGACTCTGATCATGCCTTGGTACGCTCTCATTTCTCCACGAACTTTACCGAGAGGCGCACCAAGTGTCCCCTCCAGAGAATTTGTCTCATCCGTCGATGTTGCGAGCCTACCAGGATGCTCTGCCTACCGAACTTTCGCTGTCTTGTCCTAATGACACAGACCTTCAGTAGAATAAGATCTCGGTCGTCATGCTCGACGCAGGATCATCTGCTTGTGGCACTACCAATCGTCACGACAGCTGTAAGCGACACATTCGCTTTGGGTTCAATTGACTCGTAAAAACTCCCGGGTCCAACCAAATAAGGAAGTTGAGACGTTAACTACGGTACTATTAAACAAAACCTAATTCAAATCCACATTTACTTGTCTCAGCAGTGTTTGTTCAGTCCCGCAACAACCGGGTCTTCGAGCAGTTGCACTATGTAATAGCGTCACTGCACTTGCTATCGTACAGCAACGACACACAGCACAGATTCCAAGAGAGGAATACAAGGGTTCTTTTTAATGTGTCCGAAATCTTATCCCATTGGTCCGCGGTACGGTACACAGGAAGATTCAAGGTGTCATTACGCTCAAATGGAATGAGATTAACGCGTCTCGGTGCGAATACGGAATCAAAGAGCAACAAGGGCCTGGGTGTCCTTGTGGTGGGAGTGCACAATCGTCACAGCGGGTTTGGGATGAGAGCAAGTCCATGTTGAGTGGGCATTTACAAGAAGCAAGACAAACATAACAAGGGCCTGTGTACCTTGGGGACTAGTAGCACGGAGTAGGAGTGCACAATCGTCACAGCGGGTTTGGGATGAAATGGCGTAGACATGGCTAGGAAAACAATGAATAGCACGATTGCCCGTAGGAGCAGGCGTCAGATAAGGTTATCGGGCACAAGTCTCGACACCGTGGTGTGAGTTGCAAGGAAAACATAGAGCTTTGCATAGTTAATCGCATGGGTTAGACAAATAATAGGTTATCCGGGACCTCGGCAAACGGCACAGATGTGGTGGTTATCTGACTATGATCTTGACATTCAGCTTGCAGTTTTCATGGTAATTCTTCCGCCTACATCAGTCACTGAATATCCATGAGGTCGGTGAACCTGTTGGAATCCAGAAGATACCTCCCGACTTGCTCAGAGCGCAATGTGACCAGAAGGACTATTAAGCACGAACTGACGCATAGCTCACATGCTAACAAGGAAGCCTGATGGACCAGTCGGGCTCAAGAAATGGAGGAGGTGGGAGCAGTAGGCAATTGTCGCAAACTCTTCCAGCTGATCCGCACTACTGGTTCCAGGTAATCAGGCGTTATTGAGACAAACAGAGACAGCGCGGGTGCTCTGATTCACAATAAGGAACGCCGTATGGCTCGTTTGGTAGAGCACTTTCAAGATCAGTTCAGTCGGCCCCCTGTCTCCGGACCTCGCCCTACTCAGATGATGCAGGACTAACC